TATATATAAAACTGGTTGGTGGTCAGTACCCAGATCTGCAGAGCAGATTTCCAGGTGTTCTTTCTGATGTGTTGCCCTTAAGCAATAAGACTCTAGATGATGACTTGTTTTCGGGTCCTAGTTGCCCTTGTCTCAGAGGATCGGGTGGGGGTAAAACAGCTCTTGTGATGCCCTCTTGCCTTTGCCAGAGAGGTTGCTGTACTTGAATTTTTGCTTCTGCTTGTCTGCACGCTCCCTCATGTCACAAAACTCCAGTAATAGATAACAAATCTGCCCACACCAGACATGTCAAAAGTGGTCATGTAAGTCAAAAAGCAATTATCCATGAATTTATAATCTAAAATCTAGATAAGGCAAATCAAATTTGGCTATAGAGTGAATGTAAGAACTTAGGTGACATATGAAATGAAGTGGCAAATTTAAAGACCTTTGGCTATGTCTGACCCACCTTTAGAGGCTAGCTCATTCCCTACCAGCCTTCAGTCCCTGGGCTTGACACATTTGCTGCCCTATGTCTGGCTGGGTTCCGCCCTTTAGGTCAGTGTGAAGAGGCAGTATCTCCTCCATTTCCTCCAGCATGTCCAGCTCAACAGGTTCCTAAAGCTGTTTAGCAGCCTCTCCTGGTGACCGTCCTAAATTTTGTGAAAAAGAAATACCCCACACCCAGATAACCATAAATAGAAGTAATGTAGTTTTATAGGCTTTTGGAATGTCTTCTCTTTTGTATTTATGATGGTGTTTGGAATTTCTCACTAGTGTTTTTTTTAGATTGAAGTGGTGCATTAGAATAAAACTTTCCATTGCTGAGCCAGAAAGCAAGCAAAGAGGAAAGAAATTGACCTATATTGTATGGTTGGGGAGGTGACTACTTGGGGTGGGGTGGGGGGGAGGGGCATTGTAGATTATGTGGAGGTAAAATAGAATTCCGGCCTGAGGCTCCCCAACTCTTTAATAGTTTGTCATAAAAATCCCCTTAGCCTCAGTCTCAATAGAAGCCTGCTGTTTACCCTCAGGGAACAAGTAGTTTTCAAAATTGAGCTCCTCCAAGGTCTTTGGCCAATGCCTGTGTGTATTGGCAGTTTTGTGAACTCATGGCATTATTTTCCCGTATGCATTATGATATTATGAAGTTCAACCCCAACCTGTATTAAAAGCACAGCCCAGGGTCCTAACTGAATCTAGTCAATGCCTTTAAGGAGCCAGAAGGTCATTGGAGGCCCATGCAATTTAGCTGAAGCTCAGGTGCCATGTTGGATTTTTATTGTTTTTTAGGCCACAACTCTTCAGAATGAGTTTAGGGCAGGGGCCACTGATCTGGCTGTGGATTCAGGGAGCTCTAAAATGAATCTCTACCGTTCCTGTAAAGATCTTTCTGGTTCCTCCCAGTGTTGTCATTGCTGAGGTCAATCTGTAGTTGTTAAGATGTGCTCCTTTTTGCTGTCTCGTAAGTCTTAGCCGGTGTTCCAGATGCCCAAGGACAGGGCCTCCAGAGGGCATAGCCCTTTTCTGGTACCAGGTGTGTGTTCATAGTCTGTGTGAAGGGTGTATTTCTAGAAAAAAGCAGTGAAATGAGAAATTCTGCAAATGTTAACCTGGAGGATCAGTGTGTATCTCTTGGGCCTGGATTTCCACTATGTTAGTGAGTCTAGGAAAATACTGTGTCTTTAATGGATGAAAATTCAATGTATGCTGTGAATTTGTTGGTTTGAAACAATGAAAATTTTTCATTAGACAATGTTTACATACCTCACCTGAAAAACCTTTGAGAGTGTATATATGAAATTTAAAAATATATTAAGTTGCTTTAAAACGATATGTATAGCTATAAAAGTTGGAGTTATTTTAACTTTGAATATGTACCAGGTTTCTTAAATCTTGAATTCTTGTAGACTTTTTGTGCTTCTGTGTTTTACTTTCCTGTTAGACCGTGTAGGAAACTGTGTTCTTGTTATTGGTAAAGGGGCCCCCACTAAAATCCAAGCTTGGAAGGATTTCCTGTGTTGTTTCAGATTTTCTTGTTTGGTTTTGAGGGATGGGATATGGAGCTAGAGGATGTGTGGGAGGGATTTCTCTTAACACTGACATCTATTCCATGGGCTTTTTCAAGGCGCTTATTTTATTGCAGCATATTAAATTTCTTTGATATTAAAATGTGTTTGTGTAATCACTGGAGAGGGTAGAGAATGCATTGAAGCTGGTCATTCAACTTCTAGCCAAAAGGAACCCATAAGCAGTATTCCATCTCAACCATGGTGTTGGGGCTTAAAGAAATATTATGTTCTCTCTAAATCAGAAGTCAGACTGTGAATTATGCCTAATTTCAAGGAAGAAAAAAGTGCAATGGATGAATCCTTGAGATTACCATAGCAGGGCGGGAAGGATGTCAGTGTCCCATCCTGAGGGTAGGGAGTAACAGAGTTCAAGCTCCTCACAACAGGCAAGCCAGGCTAGGGCTGCCCAGGTCTCTATAGTCCCTGTGGAGTATGGCAGAAGGTTGAGAGAAAGTCCTTCCATTTGCTGGCCCTGTCACTCATTTCAATGTATTTTTTCAGTTCTG